AGTATCGTACAAAAGGCATTGTTTTTACCATAAACTAAAATTTCAAATTTAACATTAGGTAGAAATATGAAATTCTAAGGATATCTACTTCTAACATCCAGCTATAATGAACTAACCTTCTGTTCCATTGTCTTATTTTTATAGAATGCCTACTTTCATTTCAGAATTATTTAAAGTTACACTGAATTTGCTGCTATGAAATTTATTTAAAATGATTAAGAACTACCATAAATATAGGGGAGGAGGTGTTATGTATAAGGTGTCTGGATTTCTAAGAGTCTATTTTTCAATGAGATTTCCTTTATATTTATTGTTAGAATGGAACAATGAGTATTCTGGATTGTTCATTAATTGTATGTATATGTCATACTGAAAGTTCCACATCAAAATTCATTCCTGAGATTTATTTCACAGAAATACACAAAAGTTAAAAGGTAGGCTGTCCAGAATGAGCATTTAGCCTAGTGATTATGATACTCATATCCTACATTGTAGGACTTGGGTTTGATTTCTGCCTCTGTCTCCTGACTCCAGCTTGTAGCCCATGCAGACTCTGGCAGGCAGCAGCAATGGCTGAAATAATGAGGCTCCTGTGACCTACCTGAAAGACTTGGGTTGAGTTCCTCGTTCCCAGCTTCGGCTCTTGTACTATCCTAAAAACACATTCGAATAGAAAGAGCCCTATTGCTTTATAAAAGGAAGTTCATCGATTTCTCTCCCAAATTCTGTTTTGCCCCTTTGAAACAATCTGCTATTGCCTTTTATATGAACATCTTCTGCAAAGAACCCATGAGCAGTTACACAATTATCTGTAAAGTACTTGGATCCACTGTAGAGCAATGGCCTGACACCATTCTATCTTGTCTTCTATGACTTGAATTGTTCTAGCCTAATGAATAAAGGCTTGTTACAGGAAAGATTTAAAGTTGGACTCTCAAACCTCAGGGATTTTTTGTTACTATTTTTCCTGAAAATATTTATGGGAAGATATGTTCATTTCATAATCACTAATCACAGTTATAAAGAAAGAAACCAAGCCTCCCAGATAACAAGGAAAGTAATATTTTGTTTGTAAAACATACCACTGGAGGCACAAAGACAGTCTAGCATTTTGTGTACACTAACAAAGGGTATTGTAAGAGTGTAAATGATATTGTTTTAATTTAGTCTACACTCCAGTCCCTACCCCCACCACAAAAGCGCCTCTTTCCTTTTAAATGGAGAATTCTAATAATGATGATGAGTCCCACAGTCATCGGGCAAGTTGGGACCACTCTAGACATAACGGCTTTGAGTATAAGCTCAGACAGCCAAAAGGAATTTGGGGATATATTGGCATTTGTATCTGAATGAGCTATACAGTGAAGTTGCAAAATAATCCTTTTATTGGAGATATCAAAGATAGCATGATTAATCCTCAATATGTGTAGTTGCTACAGGGTAGAAAAAAAAAGATATGTCCTATTCCAGTTTAAGATAGCAATAATAACTCCAGTTCCACACACTGAATACATCCCTGGTCCTTCAGGCATTACTACTGACACGGAGATGAGATAGATGAGGGAAGACGCTCATGGCAGGTCTGGACCTAAGGCCAGGAGAAGTGACGTGCAGCCCGAGATAGCTGCTGCTTTCAGAACAAATCCTGCTCGAAGGCTAGAAGAGGTTGCCACAATAAAGCTTCGTGTCTGTGGGGCCGTGATCATTTCTAGATGACTCTTAGAAAGAAAACGTTAGGATACCACAATCAATTTGATGTGTTAGCTGCTTTTACTCATGATTCCAAAAATTCCGTGGTCGGTCTGAGCTGTTGTTGAAGAAGAAACATCTCTCAACAAAACTTCCAAAACAGTTATTTCTACTGCAGTACACTCAAGAAGTACTTACATACAGTTACATACAGTTAATTTATATTCCCACTTGACATGACAGAAGCAAACACTGATTTTTTTTTACCTGATCTGATATTCACTGGTCAACAGCATTGTCCTCCTTAAAAAAAAAAAAAAGTTTCAAGGTTGGGAAACAGTAAGGTAATAGCATTGTGTAATAATTTAGATTTTAGGTGATTATTTCCCGAGTGTTATTAAAGTGTAAGACATTTAAAAGCAGTATCTTACTTTTTTTTTTTCACTCAACGAGATATGAGCTAATCTACATTGTTCTTGAAATTACCAACTTCTTGGTCATTGCGCTCTTAAGAACTATAAATTGCCACTCACAATGTTTCTATGACCCTGTGTCAAAACTTAGTCAAATCAGAGACCCTGGCAATGGTCTTTTGAAACTTTAGAAAAGTTCTATAAATTTTAGCCAAGTAATAATTACAGAGAAAAATATATTTTGCCCATGTAATAATAATATCTGGAACAGAAAGGACAAACATTTGTGGAGTTCACACTACATGGCAGTACTATTCTGTATGTGTAAGATATACTTCATTGAATCCTAACTCCAGCCTTTGAGGTAGAAGCTATTCTAATCTATATTCATAAATGAGAAAACCGGGATGCAGAGCAGCTAACTCATGTTGCCCGCAGCTTGCTACTAGAAAGGGATGGGGACAACACTGTACCCACGTCTTCAGTGCTGCTAACGTTGCTTTACAGAGAGATTCCCAGGCTAACCACTTGCTCAGAACTAAAATGAATTGTTTTGAGATGTCTTTATACCAAAAACAAAATACAGTAGTTCCCCTCTATCTTTGAGAGATATGTTGCAAAACCTCTAGATAATACCTGAGATTGTAGACAATATTTGATCCTGTGTCATGTTTTTTCCTATACATACATAACTATGATAAAGTTTAATTTCTAAATTAGGCACAATAAGAGTTAACATCAGCTAGGGCCAGCACCTTGGCTCACTTCTTTAATCCTCCGACTGCAGTGCCGGCATCCCATATGGGCGCTGGGTCCTAGTCCCGGTTGCTCCTCTTCCAGTCCAGCTCTCTGCTGTGGCCCAGGAAGGCAGTGGAGGATGGCCCAAGTGCTTGGACCCCTATGCCCGCATGGGAGACCAGGAGGAAGCACCTGGCTCCTGGCTTTGGATCGGCATACCTCCAGCCATAGTGGCCATTTGGGGGGGGGGGGGGGAGTGAACCAACGGAAGGAAGACCTTTCTCTCTCTCTCTCTCACTGTATAACTCTTTCAAATAAAAAAAAAGAGCTAACAACAGCAAATAATAATAGAAAAGAATAATTCTTTCTCTCACTGTCCACTCTGCCTGTCAAAAAAAAAAGAATAATTGTAACAATACACAATACTGTAGTAAGTTACATGAATTTGGTCTCTCTCACTCTCTTGGCCTCTTTGGTAAGGTTTTTCTCTCTCTCTCTCTCTCTCACTTTCTATCAAAATATGTTGTTGTATTATACTCACCCTTCTTCTGGTGATGATATAAAATGATACAGCACCTATATGAGAAAATGAAATGAGGTGAAGGGCATGGGCACCATGACTTGGTGCTAGGCTACCGTTGACCTTCTCTATATATTACTGGGAATCCATTCTGATAGCTGATGAAGTTTTGTGCTTCCCACTCTGTGTTCCCAAGAGATGAATGATCCCTTTGTCCAGAATATCTCTGCCATATGTTCTACCCACCCATCAGTCACTTATCAGCTGTGTCAGTTATCAGGAAAACTGTAACAGTATCACAGGACTTATATTCATGTAACCCTCAGAACAGCATGTAATTTAAAACCTATGAATTGTTCATTTCTGAAATTTTCCATTTAGCATTTTTGGACCATAATTGATCACTTGTAATGGAAACTACGAAAAGTAGAAGAGCCAATAAGCAAGGATTATTGTTTAACTAATGTTTTAATACTGAAAGTGCACAAAGAACAGTTTTGCTGAACGGTAAAGAACAGAGGCTGGCTCATCAGAGCATGGTGTAGGTTACATACATTCAACTTCATTTTCTAAACCAACCATTTGCCACATAGTTTATAAATGTGTCTGTATATGTGTGTCATGTGCATTTGTGTGTGTACATATATATATATAGGTCATATATATGTATATCTGTGCATGTGTGTCTGTTTATTTACATATATATTCTGTGATATTATGCATATCCAAATATTTACATAGCTTTCCAAACAATCTTTAACTACATAGTTAAGGTTTTAATGACACCAAATTAGTAATTTTAATCCTTATGTAGCCACATAATTATTATTCATGATAAATTATATTTAAAATATTGCATAAGTATATTGCAGAGTATAAACATAGAAAACATAAAGATAGACTTGTGTGGTAGTGTCTGCATAAGGGTTAGGAGACTGGAGTTTTGGAAGGATCTGAGAGAGAATATTAGAGGAGAAAGCTTATAAGGTAAAACAGAGTATAGCAGGCAGCATTTACAAACAATAATCAACCTGTTAATTGTTACTTCCGAAAAAGGACCTCCCTGTTTGACTGCTTAAAGTTTTTTTTAACTCTTATTTAATGAATATAAATTTCCAAAGTACAGCTTATGGATTACAATGGCTTCCCCCCCCATAACTTCCCTCCCACCTGCAACCCTCCCCTCTCCCACTCCCTCTCCCATTCCTTTCACATCAAGATTCATTTTTAGTTATCTTTATATACAGAAGATCAATTTAGTATATATTAAGTAAAGATTTCAACAGTTTGCACCCACACAGAAACACAAAGTGTAAAATACTGTTTGAGTACTAGTTATAGCATTAAATCACAATGTACAGCACATTAAGGACAGAGATCCTACATGAGGAGTAAGTGCACAGTGACTCCTGTTGTTAACTTAACAAATTGACACTCTAGTTTATGGTGTCAGTAATCACCCTAGGCTCTTGTCATGAGTTGCCAAGGCTATGGAAGCCTTTTGAGTTCACCGACTCTGATCATATTTAGACAAGGTCATAGTCAAAGTGGAAGTTCTCACCTCCCTTCAGAGAAAGGTACCTCCTTCTTTGATGACCTGTTCTTTCTTCCACTGGGATCTCACTCGCGGAGATCTTTCATTTAATTTTTTTTTTTTTTTTTTTGCCAGAGTGTCTTGGCTTTCCATGTCTGAAATACTCTCATGGGCTTTTCCGACTGCTTAAAGTCAAAATTATAAAGCAAAGAAAATATTGTTTTGTTTACAGTTATTTATTGAGATTCTCAAAGACATGCTGACTGATCACATAACCTTGCTCCATGATGAATTTGCCACAAAGAATTGGAAAAAGAATACTTCCCCTGGAGTTCATGGACAAATTTAAAAAGATCCCTGAAACCGCTGAAATTATTATTATAATAATAATGTCACATTTACACATTTAAATTATGTGTGTTTTTGCACATTTCTGGGAAGACTGTCAACAGCTCCACCAAATTCTCAAGACTTCGACAAAACCATAAAGAAATGCTACATTTAATGTTTTTATGGCTCAATTAGTTAGCTGGTGAAGGAATTCGTATTGAACATGCTGATATCTTTGCTGCAAATAAAAAGACACTTCAGGTGCATTGATGGGAATTACTTTATTTGGGTTTATTTCCTAATGAAAATAAATGTCACAGAGTTCCCTCTGTGATCAATTAGCCTGTAGTTCACGTGTCGATTATAGCAGAGCTGATTCTGCTACTCAAGTATACAATATCATTTGCAGGTGTTCTGATTATGCTGCATGTCAATAAAAATAAAACTGATCCAAGATAGAAAAGAAAAATCACCAGGAATTCCCCATAACAGTTTCAGTGTAAACCAGCTTCTGTGTTTAGACGCAGCCCCTCATGATATGACTGTGAAGCTGAAGTCATCGTGCTTTTGATACATTAATGGTGAAGATTAAAGTAGAAAAAAGCATGTGGAGTCGTGAGTCCAAATCACCTAATTTAAAGTATCATTTAAAATCCAATTCATATGCAAAAATTTAGTAATAGCTATATTTTCTTTTAGTGAGTCATTAATATATTTTACATAAATAGCATTTAAAACAATATAGGTATAAACCATTATCTTTTTTTGCAAATAGCAACTGTAAACAGTATTTTTCTCTGAAATTTGGAGGGAAAATCCAAGGAAATATATAAAATTGACAAGAATTTAAATAGTATTTTTTAAAAGATTTTATTTATTTGAAAGATAGAGTGACAGAGAGAGAGAGACAGAGATCCAGAAACAGAGACAGAGATCTCCAAATGGTCACAATGGCTAGGGTTGGGCCAGGCCAAAGCCAGGAGCTAAGAACTCTATCTGGGCCTCCTAAGTAGGTGGCAGGAGCCCCAAGCAATTGGGCCATCTTCCACTGTCTTCCTAGACAGATTAGCAGGGAACTGGATCAGAAGCAGAGGTGCTAGGACTCGATCGCAGAGATTGGAGGGCACTCCATATGGGAGGTTGGCATTGCAAGCTGTGGCTTACCCCACCATGCCACAATGCCAGATCCCTTAAATCATATTGAAAATGTCACAAATATTACTAATTTTCATATCCCAAGAAAATAGTCAATATAGCAAGGGGGAAAAATGACACACAGAATTTTTAAAGAAAGTTCAGTCAACTTCTTCTGAAACATCAAAAGAATGATTTAGTATAGTTTACAGTTAACAAATTCAAAAAATGTAACGGTCTTTGAAAAATGCCTTTTATTGTAATGCTTTGAATGTGCCAATTTTATTTTGACATAGCTAAGCAATAATATTAAAGTATATGGATTTACTATTTGCCTTGTTTATGAGAAAGAAAAGGCAAAATTTATAGCGTTTTCAAAGGAAAAGCTGAAACACCAGGGAATTGGAAAGAAATTTTCTAAAAAGGACATCACTCAGTGATTATTATAATGAAATTTCTTAGAATTCCACAGTTTTAAAAAGAAAGACAATTCTGTTCACATATTCTGAATTTTGAAATAGAAAGTATGTCATTCATTAACTTCGGGTCTTGAAAAATAGAAGCATTTTCCACAACCATTTGCTTTTATATTTAAAATAAATCCAAAATCCTTTCATTTATTGTGTTTTAAGATACTGACAGCTGTTTTCAATCTATTTCCACATTAACTCATGACTGTCCTGTTTAGGACGGGTTATTCTATCTCCACAATGACCTTGATATACACATCCTTTCACTTTGAATTTAGAAGTTTCATTTTATTACATATGAGTTGTATTCAAATATACCAGCCCTTAATACTAAATTAAGAACATGTAACACCTCAATAATTTTTGGAGTTGACAAACATGTTTTTCTCCTTTGTGTTTAAGAATCTGGTCAATTAGGTGTCTGGAATAGAATTCCTAAAACCAAGGAAAATGAGGAAAATGGGAACACATGTGAACGATGGCACAGTTAGAATTGCCTAGATGGCACTAGCACAAGAAACAATACGAAGAAACATCTACAACCTAAGATGCAGTCATATGAATAGTACTTTACATGTTATCATCATTACAATGAGAAAAATTTAGTTTTTCCATGCACTGATGTGACTTCTTAAAGCCAGCTCCTATTTTCATCCAAAAGAAATAAAGACTTCCAGTTATTTCTGGGCAATATAAAATGGCAAGCCAACAGCATCCCACATCACAGCAACCAAGAGCATAATTCATAGCACTGAGCAGTAATAATAACCGGTAAGCCCTTTGCACAGTCCTCACTTTCTTCACTTCAAACCCAGTTGTCTCAAAGCTCTAATTACACATGCAATATGTTCCCATGTTTTCCTGCTCTCATGCTAACAGACCAATAATTAATTCTGTCCCTGGCATTTGATGGTCTCTGTGCTCATTTCTTAAAGACAGTTGAAATGTTTAACCAGGAAGTCCATGTGCATATTCAATACCAGTTAGACTGAGTTTACAAAGAAGGTCTTCTTGATTACAGTTTTGAGCTGCGTCTACCACATAACAGATTTCCAACTAAAAAAAAAAAGAGAGAAAATGGAAAATATCAACCAACCATTTGAACATCCTGAAAAATCACACGCTACAAAAATCTCTAAGGAAGGACACTATTCCTTATCCTCATGGTGTCCTACCACACCTTCACTTGTAAATATCTAAATTCATGACTGTTCTGAGTAGTGAATGTTTTGTATGCAGGTCTCTTTAGAAAAAACCAATAATTTGTACTCTTTAGGTTGGTGTTGTGCTGCTGCTTTGTGGTGATTCTCTGGTCATTTTTTAAAAAAATATTTTATTTATTTGAAATAGAGAGAGAGAGAGAGGGCTTTCATCTGCTGGCTCCCTCTCCAAATGGCTGCAACAGCAGGAGCTGAGCCAGGCTGAAGCCAGGAGCCTGAAACTCCCTCCCAGTCTCCCATGTGTGCAGCAGGGTCCAGAGCACTTGGGCCATCTTCTGCTGCTTTCCCAGGCACATTAGCAGAGAGCTTGATGGGAAGTGGAGAAACTGAAACTGAAATCAACACTCATATGGGATGCAGGTATCACAGGCAGAGGCTTACCCTGCTACACTGCAACACAGGCCCCGGGCACTCCGGGCTTTCTACTGTTAACAGCTTGATGTCACCCAGGTGACTTCCTGGTTTTGATTCCTTTCAAGGAAAATCATTTGATGTTCATGAAATCAACTCTAGTTGTTTCCTGTTTATTGCAGATTGCTTTATCCATTTTCTGCTGCTGATGTATTGTAGGTTCATTTTGAAGGCCCCATTTTTGTATAAATAGCAGTCTACTGAATAGGCATGTACCAGATTAGAACTGATGTGCAATGCATAGATACGTAAACAAAAGCAGTAATAACCAAGTAAATCAGTGCCATTCATACTGTACACACGAAGGCAACCCCAGAAATGCCTTCCTCCACCTGCTCCAGCCAGACTGACTTACATTGATCTCATTTACAAATTGTTTTCTGAATAAGATCTCCTTTGATCAATCCATATACAAATTTTGTTAGAATCTTAGACTAAATAACTTAGAGAGGAAAATGTTGAAGAAGTCTTTTGTGAGTCCAGGTAGCCACTGGACCTATGTCTACTTCACTACCAAGAACACCTTCATGAAGTTGTCCCACAGAACTCTCCTTTGAGGCCATTGTTTCCTTCCTTAATGCTTCCTCCCCGAGTCCTGAGCCCTGGAGGGACAAACAAGAAACAAAACTGTGATACAGAGGAGTCCAGATCAGAAAAACACAGCTTAGCCCAGGTCTTGGTTCTTCCATCCCAAATCATTAAGGATTTGAAGAGAAACAAATTCAATGCTTCAGAATACTAGGTCATAGATAGAATAAATGTCATTTTTTACTTTGTTTCTATTGTGGATTAAAATCAGAATTTTGAATAATCGTAATAGCTGAACACTTCGAATTAGCAGAATTTCCATGTACACATATTTCCTAAGCAAGTATTACACAAATATTTAATTTTACATTTGCTATTTTATGGATAAATCAAAACTGTGCTATCATCCCCTCACTTGTAATTCATTTGTAGTTTTCCTTTCTGTATTAAATCCAATACTATATTTGTATATATAACACAAAGATGAACAATTCTACATATATTTTTGTCTACATTTCTAATATTCCCTTGTTTAGTTATATAAATCAAAAAGGTATTCCATATTTGTAAAAGGGCATTTATTTTTTAAAAAATATTCATGTATTTATTTATTTATTTGAAAGTCAGAGTAACAGAGAGAGAGAGAGAGAGAGAGAGGTCTTCCATCCGCTGGTTCACTCCCCAGTTGGCCACAACGGCTGGAGCTGCACCAATCCGAAGCCAGGAGCCAGGAGCTTCTTCCAGGTCTCCCACGTGCAGGGACCCAAGGACTTAGGCCGTCTTCCACTGCTTTCCCAGGCCTTAGCAGAGAGCTGGATCAAAAGTGGAGCAGCCAGCCGGGACTCGAACCAGTGCCCATATGGGCACTGTGGGCAGTGGCTTTACCCACTATGCCACAGTGCCAGCGCCAGGACCTTTCTTTATCGCTGATAATGCCAACCTTCTCTTAGTAGATAATTGAAAACCTTATCTGAATCAAAAGTAAAGGGCAAAATTGTCAGCACTATGTCTGGTTCTTCTTAAAAATTTATTTATTTTTTGAAAGGCAGATAGAAAGAGAGATGGACAGACAGAGAGGTCTTCCATCTGTAACTTCACTCTCCAAATGTCCGCAACTTCCAAGGTTGAGCCAATCTGAAGCCAGGAGTCTAGAACTTCAACTGGGTCTCCCACAAGGGAGGCAGGGGCCCAAGCACTTGGGCCATCTGCTGCTGCTTTCCCAGGCACATCAGCAGGGAGCTAGATTGGAAGCCAAGCCGCTGGACTCGAACTGGCACTCTAATAAGGGATGCCAGCATCACAGCCAGAGATTTAACCCACTGCTTCACATCACTGGCTCCTCTTTGGCTATTTAGTTAATATATTTATGACTTTGAATTTATAATGTAGCTAAAGTCTAACACTATTTATCTTATGGACATTAATGTTATGTAAACCCCAATTTTTTCCAAGCCTATAAAAATCCTTCAATAGGATCAGTGTTGCAGTGCAATGGGCTTAACTGCTGCTTGCAGTGCTGGTATTCCATGTGGGCACTGGTTCAAATCCCAGCTGCTCTACTTTCAGTTCACCACCTGCTGTGCACCTAGGGCTGGCAGTTATAGGTGGCAGAAGTGCTTAGGCCCTTGCCATCTATATGGGAGACCAAGATGGAATTCCTGGCTCTTGACCCAGCCCCAGCCATTGCAACTATTTAGGGGGTGAGCCAGGAAATGGATGATCCCCCCCCTTTCTGTAACTGCCTTTCAAATATATGTAATTTTTTATTTTGAAAAAAAAAAAAAAACTTTTCACGTCTATGCATGAGCCACTGTGCTAGCCATTGGAGTAAAATTTAAGAAAAAAGTTGGGGGTGGGAGGTGCGGAATTACATGAGTAGAATCCTTGGAATAACAACCCTGAACCAAGAATTGCCTGGTGAAGGTTTACTGAGGGGTGCTCTCAAGAGATAGGCATGCGTGGACATACAGATGGCAGAAATGAGCAGAGGGCAGAGCTGTGTGGAACTGCAGTGCTGTGACAGCTAGGCCTCAGCCAATCGATGGGCGCTTTGCAGCATGGGTGGCCTTTCAGAGTTGTCAGAAATGGAGGCCCTCCGCATCTCTGCACCTGTCAATCATTGGCAGAGACTCTCCTAGAAAGTAATGTGACCTTGGGTGAGGCAGTTCCTTGAGGCCAAAGGACTTGCCTTGTGAAGGAAGCAGCCACAGCCATGGAACTGTGAGGTTACTTCAGAGTTTGTAGGAAATCAAAATTAAAAGAATAAGTTTATTTTGGTACAAGAAAAATTTTTGAAATCATGATGTTTTTTCATTATATATATTTTCCATCAATTTTTAAGACCCCTCACCATGCTAAATATAATGGCATCAGGTGAAAAGGATTCTCTTTTCTCATAGTCCTTTTTTCACTTTGCTTTAAGGTCTCACAGAGATCCCCCTCTAAGCTCATGTTAGCAATGCCTCTGAGGTCCTGTCATCTTTCAGTAGCACCTGCTCCACACCCATCCACCAGCCCCATGATCCCAAATTCATGCCTTCATTTTCTCAGCTTTTAGCGTTTCTTGTTACAGCAGCAGCCATCCCTTTATTACTTATTAATACTGTATAGCAAATCACCTTTAATTTAGTGGATTAAAGCAACAGTAATTAGCACACTGTGGTGCAGTGGATTAATTCACCACTCCGGACACCTGCATCCCATATTGGAGCACTGGTTTGAGTTCCAGCTACTCTGCTTCTGATCTAGCTCCCTGCTAATGCCCCTGGATAGTGGCAGATGATGGCTCAAGTGCTTACCTTACTGTCACTCAGTTGAGTGACCAGGATGGAATTCCTGGCTTCTGACTTCAGCATGGCGTAGCCTAGCCCTGACTGTTGCAACCATTTGAGTAATGAACCTTCACATGAAAGATCTCTTTCTTTCTCTCTCTCTCACTCTCTCTCTCAAATAAATTAATCTTTTAAAAGCAGCAACAGCAGTTACCATCTATTATGTCCCATAATGGGCAAGTAGCAGGAGAGACTTGTTTTGCTGCTTTAGGCAGCATCTCTCAGGAAGCTACAGCAGGAGTTGGCTGGGGCTGGAGTGTCCATTTCCAAAATGATTTACTCCTGTGGTTAGTAAATTGGCTCCTCTCCATGTGGACCTCCGTATGAAGCAGCCCGAGTGTCCTCACGTTATAGCAGATGGCTTGCCCCAGAGTGAGAAACCTGCGAGATCAAGACTGAAGCTGCTATGCTTTTAATGAATTAGCTTTGAAAGGCACAAATGTCTGTTTCATCCTGGTGGCCATACAAACCATTCCAGATTGATGTGGCAGGGGACTGCCTAGGGCACAGATATCAGGAGGCCAGGGTCATCGGGAGTCACATTGGAAATTAGCTACAGCATCTGTCATATCCTGAATGTGGCCTTTGCACCATTATTTCCCTAGATCCCTTGCTTCTTCCACAGCTACAGGATTAACTGGTCACATGTTAGCCTCTCCTGCCTGAGGCCTGATTACACTGCTGGTCAACCCTGTGGACAGATCCTTAAATGATGCCATGCAATACATGAGAAGCAATGAACACTGTCCCTTCCATTGTATCAGGAGTCCAGCTGATACCAACATAGCCACACCTCCCTTGGTTTATGATATGACAGTCCAATAAGGCAGATCAGTTTCTGCGTTCAGGTCAGTTTATGTGTCGCCCACACTCGGGGTCACATCTCAAGCTCTCCAGGTCTAAAGGATCCCTTTTAAGTCCCTTTCACCAGCCTTGAAATGAGAACAGCTCCCTCCTAAACCTTCCCTACATCACGGTGTCTTGTGGAGGACTGCTAAATATAAAATATAATATCTCTCTCCAAAGTCATTTTCCCCACATTCTCTGCTTCTGGAGTTCATTAGTGTGTGGAAGAATTGTGAGTTCTATAGTGTATTCTCATCCAAGTACTTTTTGTGAGCTCAACAGTGTGGTTTATCTGACAACTTACTTTGAAACTTGAATTTATCATCTTGGGATTTGGGCCAAAATTTCAATTTTAGATCCAGGCTGTTGGCACAGCATTTATGTCGCATATAGCAGTGCCTGGGTTAAAGTTCCAGCTCCATTGCCCTATTCCAGCTTCCTGCTGATGCACACACAGGAAGCAGCAGGTGATAGAGCAAGGGGTTGGATCTTTGCCTCCCATATGGCAGAGGGTGATTGAGTTCCTGGCTCCTAGCTTTGTCCTGGCCCAGCCAAACCAGCAAATAGGAGTTCTCTTCTCTTCCTTTCCCTTCCCATTCCCTCCCCCTCCCCTCTCCTTCTCTCTCTCTCTCTCTCTCTCTCTCTCTCTCTCTCTCTCTCTCTGTCTTAAAACCTTTAATTTTAATATGCTGTCACAAGGATCTGTGTCCTGAGCTGCAATTATGACTTACCAGGAACACATTTCCTCTCTCTGCTGACATCTGATGAATAAGAGCCCCTTAAGGAACGTAAAATTCCAGGTTCAAGGTTATGCTGGTATTTCTTGTCACTCCCTGAAATGTATTCAAACAGAATTGAGGATGGAGACATACAACATAAAGATGGATAACTTCAGCTTCTTGTTCAGCCCTGCAAAACTGGGGGAGATTATCAGATAGATTTTCTTCAGAACTTAAGTTAGAAAACATGCTGATCAAGTGACAACTGAAAACATGCCAAAATAGTTTGTCTTTGGATTTACAGTTGAGCCAACTGAAAATAAGGAGTGTGAACTCTTTTAAAATGGATCAAAGTGTTTTTCCAGGGATAATTAAACATTTTATCAGTTCTCCTGGACATTCTACTTGCGAACCACATGACACACTTTTCTGTCTCAGGCGGGCCCTAGTTACTTCTTCAGCTCTCACAAGTGCTAACGCAGCCTCCTGCCAAGCTGGCCAGATCTCCAGAACAGTGATGAGGATGAGGTTGTGACGGGGTGGGCTCTGCCTGGCCACAGCCTCCAGAGCTGAGCTGGAGGCTGAGGTCCAGAAGCTTCTGCAGCTTCCTGGGCTGAAGGAGGATGGACTTCAGCGCCAAGTCCCCTCACAGGACTCCTGCTGGGCACTTAGGCGCGGATGCAGGGAATTGGGTTAGGCTGCCTCCAGGGCGTGAGGAGTGCTGCAGCTCACTGACCACACAGGCAGCGGCAAGGACAGGTCCCACGGACACAGGCTTATATTCAGAGTTGGGCTGCTGGGTTGTTTTTTGTAAAAATTGTCAGCAATCGAATACTAAGTGTAATTTTTTCCTAAGAAAATATTTGTGAAAACTTTTGTTAAAATACTGTCATCAAACTAGAAAAGAGTTATACATATATGATGCCATATGAAAGCAGGAGGTACAAAATTAAGGTCATCTCAGTATTTTCCATTACTGTTCACACTATATTTCTTTGAATTTTTTCTAATTACTCATAGCGTCTAGGTTGTACAGGGTAAACAACATCACACGTTAATTGGCTTAGGAATATTGTCAAAACAGATTACCTGTAATTCCATTTCCTGTGTAGATTGGATGAGACATTACAAGGACACAGGCCGTATGTTCCCCAATGTGTCTTTTCAATTACATTAAATTAAAGTTTTTGCAAATTAGATACATAAGGAAAGTTCTATGGCTCTTTCAGGCTCATCAAAGATTTTCAATATTATTACAAATAAAAAAGATACATGTAATCAGATGTCTGTAAATTTACATTAGATTTAAGATAGGAATACAACATTCTTAAAGGTTTGTAAATAAAAAAGTAAAACAACTCATACATGTATAAATACATATTTGTATATTGTCTCTGCTGTAGAATCTTTTCTTTGATATTGATATACAATAATTGTACAACCTATGGGGTACATTGTGGTATTTTGATGCAACTGCCCAATATATAATGATCCCTTCAGGGTAATTGGTATATCCACCACTTCCTACTTAGTTTTTTAAATTGTATTTTTATACAATGTGTTTTATAGTACACTAGAATGTTCTACCACACAGATATATTCAATGTGGAGGGAATCTTAACAACTTAATCTCTCCCTAGATGATAAGTTCAATTACATATGCATTCTTTTCAAAGATTATTTGTGACTCCCAGAGAGAATTAATACACTACTGACTTAAAATTCTGTAGCTTTTAGATAATTCTTGCAGGGAATTTTTTTTTTCCATAAGAAAATAAGTAGTATAGGTGGGCTCTTAACGAATGCTGTTATTTTTTTCTGGGTAGAGCACATCTTTCACCTTGAAAAGGATGATGTCCAAAACATATTAAATAAGCAAAATAGTGCCAACATGAAAACTCTGAGGAGTAAAAAGCTTATGAATTGCAGTGCCTTGGTTTTTGTGTTCCTGTTTGTTGTTTTTTCTTTCAGAATGCTGCCATCTTCTGGTCAAACTGCATCACTTCACGCACACACGCACACCCTCACACACACACACAAATCATGCTATGAGGCAAATTAGGCGTACATAAATGTATTTTTGTGGCAGCCTTTTCAAGATTTGTGCTGACAATGATCTGAAGTAGTTGGATTTCCATGACTGTTCAGAAAGGTAAAGAAGCTAAATTCACAGATGACATTTCAGGACTTGTAATGCTGTGAAGCACGTTGCACAGTCCATGCCTGTGGAACCACAAAAGAGACAGCATCTCTGGGGACTGCTCAGCCTTGTCCTTGCTGTGAGGATCTGTCGCTAAATAAGCAATCTGAACATATATTTGTTATTTTCAACTCAATTTTCGATGTTTCTCACTTTGAAAAAATTTTTAGAATATTCTGTATAAAACTTACACAATAATTGTCTTCCTTACAAGAAAGTACACTCTTGTGGCTGAAAACTTTCTCTCAATTGAGTTTCTGTAGTTTTTAGAAAGACTTATCAAAGGCTATGTAATTTAAATGCCAAACTTTGATCTATGAAGTATGATCACATATTTACACCCTTCTTTTCATTCATTCATTGAACACATGTTGGAGCTTTTATCCTGTGCTAGTCAGTTTGCTAAGCACTGAAAATTCAAACACGTGCAGGATGCTGTCTGTGGATTTGAAAGGACATAACTTAATGAATTCCTTCAACCAAGCTCTAGAAATCTCCACCATACCACACTGTCTATATCTTACAAAAATATCTCAACCTACACAAACCAAAAACTAGCAAATCAGTGCACAAGGGTAAGAAGTCTGTGAAAGATTCATTGGCTACTGCTTGTTGTCATGGATGATTTCTCCCAGATTTTCTCTTTCTGTCCCTCATCGTATTTGTAGTATAGTGACACATATAACCCATACTACATAGCCATAGAATCTGCCACCAGAGTCAGTATCTAGCAGCTGAAGAATCTGGACACAAAGAGCCCCCAAAGACCTGAGTCACTCAAGACGAGCTGGGATCACATGCTGGCTAAAAATAACAGCCTCATCTTGCTGCAGTCCTGCCTAAGACCTCTGTGGGTGAAGCAGGAAGTTGCTTCTCTAAAGCTCTCGAATGACATTATGAGGCAGAATCCTAACAAAAGGTGAAATGTGTATTCATAGCTCCAAATGTCCACTGTCTTATGAAACCATAAAACAGGCCAGCACCGCGGCTCACTAGGCTAATCCTCTGCCTGTGGTGCCGGCACACCGGGTTCTAGTCCCGGTTTGGACGCTGGATTCTGTCCCAGTTGCTCCTCTTCCAGTCCAGCTCTCTGCTGTGGCGGGGGAAGGCAGTGGCATCCCATATGGGTGCCGGGTCCTAGTCCTGGTTGCTCCTCTTCCAGTCCAGCTCTCTGCTGTGGCCCGGGAGGGCAGTGGAGGATGGCCCAAGTCCTTGGGCCCTGCACCCACATGGGAGACCAGGAAGAAGCACCTGGCTCCTGGCTTCAGATCGGCGCAGTGCGCTGGCCGTAGCGGCCATTTCAGGGGTGAACCAATGGAAGGAAGACCTTTCTCTCTGTCTCTCTCTTTCTCACTAACTCTGCCTGTCAAAAAAGAAAAAGAAAGAAACCATAAAACAAATCACTCCTCCCTCACTCCACATATATCCCTGCCTTATCTCTTAATGTTTTGAGTTTTCTAACAAATCTTACACTGCAACTATTTTGCCTTTCCCATATTCAAAAAAAAATCACGATTGAAAGTTGATTTGTGGAAAGGGTGGCAAGTGTTTGGTGTAGGTGTTAACGCTGGGGAGCCCACATCCCATATCAGAGTGCCTGGGTTCAGGTGGTTAGCCCTGCCCCTGAATCCAGTTTTCTACTAATGTGCACCCTGGGAGGTAGCAGGTGATTGCTCAAGCACTCAAGTTCCTTCACATTCTTGTGGGATACCCAGACAGAATTCCAGGCTCCTGGCTTTAGCCTTGACTGCCAACTGTTGCTGGCATTTGGGGAATAAAAGAACAGATGGAAGATCTCTCTGTGATCTCGCAGTGTTTCTCTGCCTTTCAAGAAAGTATATAAATTTTTTGATAATGGACAATAAGTGCCTAAAAGTTGGCCATGGCAAGGAGGAGAGGCAAGCATGCTGTGCTTCATAGATAGGTTGTGATTTCAGGAGTAGGCTGTGTGCTTTCACAGCACCAAGCACACAGAAAAGTTTCTCTCTAAAGTGCTTACTTAGAGGCCCAGAGCAAGGAGGAAACTTGTCATCAGCAAATCCCACCAGCTGGGCCTTATTTCCCTTGCAGAGCCATACTGTTTTTCCCATTATTAAAAGAAAACAAGTAAATGATGATATGCATTGTTGAATGGTATTTACTGGATAATGTGAAAATGTCTTCCATATTCTCTGTAATACAAAATAGGAACTGCTACAGATGTTAAGCTCAAGAACAAGAATTAATGCAATCAGTTCCCCAGTCAAATCATTCTCTGTAGTGAGAGGTTGCCCCTAAGATTGTGTGCAAATTTTTTTTCTTGGAGCAACACTATTGAGACTATCTCACAAATCATGCTTGTGAAAGTATGGGGAAAAAAGTCTTTCTAACAAGTATCTCAGATACCTCCATGCTCTTATTTGCTGGGGCTAATATGAATGTATATATTTTCTTGTGATTTTAAACCCAAATTTTTTAAAGATTTATTTATTGAAAGGCAGAGTAAGAGGGAGAACAAATGGTTGCAATGCCCAGAGCTATTCGGGGCTGAAGCCAGGAGCCTGGAACCCCATGCATATCTCCCACATGGGTGGCTGGGGCCCAAGCACCTGGCCTATCTTCTGCTGCCCTCCTAGGCACATTATCAGGGAACTGACTCCAAAGTGGAGTAGCCAGGACTCAGACGACTCCCCCATAAGGGATGCTAGCATCCAGCACATACCATGCCTTTACTTTGCTTGCTGTGCCACAATGCCAGCCCCTAACCTCAGTTTAATATTCTACAAAATACTACTCTATAAAATGTAATGTGTACTTTATACCCTTCTTTGAATTAGAATCTTTGCCAAACTTTGAAGTAATCTTTCAGTCCTTACCACATGGCAAAAAATAAAAATGTAATTGTTGAAATTTCCAATTTAGATAGAAGATTTAAAGAATTTGAGTATAATCAGCCTGATCTTTGGCTTCCTGTATCAGAGGGTAAGTTGAACTTGGATTTCAATTGCTCCAGTGTGGTTGATCTGAATCCATAATAAACCGTGCAACCATGGACAATGCAGTCTATTACACTGGAACCTATTTCAAGAGGCTACACTTAAATACTATAGATCATAAATTAAAAGCAGATACAGTTTTCACATTGTTAGGATCTCCATACATACCTTTTAAAATAAATGTGTTCTTAGAAAGTAATGCATAAAATTATTTTTGGCAAATTGAATAACATTTTCAATAGTATATTCTTGTTGCTTGAATTCTGTGGACTATTCTTTCAGCTGAATCAAATTCTGGTATGTTCTGTACTAGAGTATATTCAAGAGGCACACATATGTAACTGAGAAAGGGACCAGACCAAGACAATTGGTTTAACCAGGAAGATTAGAGTATCAAGAGCCCAGAAGGACATCCATCCTTGTCCTGCATGCCTTAGAATAAGGTAAAGGGTGGTTTAGAAAGTCAAGTCCTCAGAACAGTTGAAATACTCAACCTCAGAGAGAACTGAAAGATGAAGGAGGCTTTTATCATCAGTGTACACACCTGTGTATTCAGAGCCAACACTAATGAACTTGGCCATTATCTGGGAAGACAAGGATTATGAAAACGATTAACAATTCAGTCACCTCTCTCTGCGTCCAACCTAAAACTTGTCAGTTGAATTTGTGCTACAGCTCTCTCATTGCAGCTACCTGTAGCTGTTACTCTTGGTTGCTATTCTCTGAGCCAACTCCTGGTGGATATGGGCAGGGTATATAAGGGCATCCCAACCATCTGACCTCATTAGGAATATTCAAAAGATCATTTATCATGAATTGTAATACATATATTCCTAGAAAATTTGTTTCTCTGCCCTTTTATTTATTATATTTGTCTTTATTTGAGAGTGAAAGAGAGATCAATCTCCCATCCATTGACTCATTACCCAAATGCACACAATGACCAGGACTAGACCAGGCCGGAGTCAGAAGCTGGAACCTGCATCTAGGCTGCATCTAGGCAGCCCACGTGGGTGGCAGGGACCCAGCTACTTGAACCATCACCTCTTTCTTCATAGGGTGCATGTTAGTACAAAGCCAGAATTAGGAGCATTAGGAGCACAGCCATGACACAAACATAGTCACTTTGATTTGGTATGCGGGCATTCAGAGTAGCAGCTTAACCACAAGCCCAGAGCTCACCCCTCTCTGGCTTCTTAACAGTTTACCACATGAGCATCTTTCGATCTGAGTAAGCATTCAGTGCTAAACAAAATATTAGAATGAGCATCTTGCATACGTCTGTGAACTCCTTTCTATCAACACTGGGTCATTTCTACTCAAGAAGATGAGGAAATACCTCAGGCCTTAGTCAAAAATGACAGAAAGTTCATGAACTGTGCTTTATAATCATGGCAATTCAGATGTCAGTAAGCAAGCAGCAGTGTTTCATTAGTGATTGATACATACAGTTTCAGGAGGGATTCCTGCACTGTGTTGTACCCCTGAAGACAGGATGTCCTTCCACATCACCAGGGAAGAATTCACTTGGACAGTTTCTTGGAATGCTGGTGAAGCCCCGGACAGTGCTGCTGTTTGCACAGAAAGTGGTTAGAAACAGGCTACTCCTGGAAATGATGACTTAATTTAGATTGCCCTTCTCTCTATAAATGTAAGGAAAGCACGCTATTGAACCTTGACTTGGGATTTTCTGGGACTTTTAAAATAATCCCTAATAAATATCAATCATATTTTTAGCCCATTTTTTTTTCAGATATTCAGAATCCTAGTTTCCATTATCAAAGCCACACTCCCCACACACATGTGTGTACACACACACATGCATGCACACACACACACACACACACACTTCTGAAAGAAGTAGCAAGTGAAATGTAATGGTAATGAGGTATAACTACTTCTCATTAAGCAAAAATTGCAAACTGCAGATCAAATGAATACTCTCCCAATCTGTCTCATGTACTCACTTTCAGCCTTCATCAATCTCAACTGAATGTATTTTCAAAAGACTTTAGCTTTTGACAATGTGCTATTACCGTGCCATAGATGGTATTGGATCCTTTTATGATGCACTTGTTTAGTGATAAAGATGCCTTTAAGTACCAAAATATTACCTTTTGGCTATCAATGTTTCATTTGTTCATTGAGTAACCACTTATTGTGTGCCTACTGTGCAACAAGTGTTGTGCTACATGCCAGAGATACACTAGGCACCCTCATAGAGCTTGCAATTAAAAACTGATTTGGGAGACACACTAATAATCAGTTCTGACTCGGAGAAGCTTGCAATGGGACACCTGAACTAATTTAGAGGGAATCAGCAGAAGTAAGTTACAGTGGGTGCCTCAGAAGTATTTCTTGAATATTTAAGGACAAGGTGAATCTTCAGCATGGTGAAGGACGTGTCGGGAGCCATGGAAAGAAGTTTTCAGGCAAAGAGTCAGTGTGAGTGGAGGCATGGAAGTGGGAAAAGCCCACCGCACATGCGGGGACTTGCATTTGGTTTAGTTGGGGACAGATGCAGGGTTTCAGATCCAGAGTCATGGTTGCTAACGGTTAGTTAGAGTTAGATCCAGAAGTATCTCCTAGACAATAACAAAGAGGATGAGGGGGCTTTATCCAAGGATTTTATAGGGAAAGAGAGAGAGACCAGATGTGCGTTCTAAAAATCTTTTTTGAATGGGGACAAGATACCTTAGAGTCACTCTATGATGGGAGATTATTTTGAACACTGTTAGAGCAATCCAGGCACAAAATGATGATATGTAAACTGAAAAAGAGAATGTGTGGAAGGATCTCAGAAATACTAACGAATTATCACCTGTATAATACAGTAATATATTGGATCTAAGGAGTAACCAGCAAGATGATGGCACTAACACAGAGATTGTCTTTGGCACCCATTTTTCCCTTCTGAAAACAGTCCCCAGTTTTCATTTGAGTATTGCTCCCAGAAACACTTCCTTCTTGTAACATAGCAGGATGACCCCCAAGAATAGAACATGTGGCCCAGATTAGAGTTGCTAAACACACAAGCCATTGCCAAGGCCACTTTCCTGTGTGAGTGTGTGTGAATGGGTGTGTGTGTGTGTGTGTGTGTGGCAGGGGGGACTGGGTGAAGCAGGGATCCACTTGTCCTGAGCTAGTCTAATTAGGATTGGATGTCAGCAGTTTTGTGGGATGCTGTCTCCTTTAACTGTGGCTAGAGTAGCAAGAATATGAGGCAGGGGGTGCTGTAACCATCTTGCCACACCAGATAGAGAACCTAAGAATGCAGCCAAGAGATAAACAAAGCTTAAGGAGGGAGCAACCCAAGCACATTTTGCTGGCATTGTTTGAGCCTTGGTTTCAGCCACACCTGTAGCCAGTCCTACAACTGGACTTTTCAATTGTTTACGCCAATGTACTTAAGTTGTTTGTAGGAGAAAGAGTACAAGTTCATATAGAAGTCAGGGACAACGCCAGAGAGCAGTTTAAGTCTACAGGTCTGGAGCTGCAAGAACAAATCCTGTAGTGGAAACCACAGATAGGTGATTTTATAAATGAGATATCACTGAGTGTTCTGAAGAAAAGTCTGAGAAACACATACACTCAATGAGTTACTCAACAAAGGCTTATTGAACATGAAACTCCAAGTACTACATCAATGAAGCGAAGTGACAATAGAAATAATAAATAATAGCAATATCAATAAATCCCTGATAAGAGTATATTCGAGAAAAAATAGGGCAGGCATATGGCCTAGCAGCTTGATTGATTGTGTCCCCTATCAAAGTGCCTCAGTTAAACCTAGGAGCAAGGCAGGAATTTTGGCACAGCAAGTTAAGCTGCCACTTGGGGCACCATACATCTGTATCAGAGTGCATGGGATGCAGTCCTGCCTGTTTCCAAAGCCCCTGGAAGGTAACAGATGATGGCCCAAGTTCTTGTCACCCACATGGGAGACCTGTATTGAGTTCCTGACTCCTAACTGCAGTTCAGCCCAGCCCTGGCCATTATAGGAGTGAACCACAGATGAGGGATGGGTCTCTTCTCTCTCTCTCTCTCTCTATCTCTATCTCTCTCTCTCTGCCCCAAGTAAGTAAAGATTTTTAAACAAGAGACAGAAAAACTCAGAAAGCAAACCAAATAAAGTATACAGCAAGTTTAATAATGATGTGTACTAGGAAGAATGAATGGGATATGGACTTTCAGAAAGAGCAAGCTAGGCTCCATCAATTCATTGACAGATTTTTCAGTACAGATGGGAAGGGAGTGAGAAAGTATACCATACAAACACCTGCAGGCATACAAAAACAGGCATGCTGGGACATAAAACAAGCAGATCACTGAGCTAGAACTGAGAGATCAAGGAAGAACAACTGGGTTACCTAAGGCAGGTCAGGCCATTGACTTCTATTCTGAGTGAGATGTGAAGCCACGGGAGGGTTCCAGGTAGAGATGTTCTATGATCTGACTTGGGCTTCAAATGGACTGCTCTGGCTATGTGTTGAGAACAGCTTTAGGCACAAGGAAAGGGACTTAATTAGGAGGCAAGTATGAGAGTTTAGGCCAGAGGAGGTGGAGGCTGTGCCAGGGTGGCAGCAGTGATGTAGGGAAAACTGTTCATATTCTAGATACATGTTTAAGGGAGAGAAACCATGAATTCTGATGGATGGAATGTGATATCTAAGAGAAAAAAGGCAAGCCAAGGATGACTGCAGGTGTTTTGCCTTAGCTACCAAGAGAATGAGAGAAGCCCTCTGAGGAAGCAAAATGAGAGACCAGCAAAAATTATGAAACAATGCTGTCACAGAAAACAAAGGAGCTCACACAGAGAAGGAGAGCTTGGTTAATATCCACAAAAGCTGCATAAAAACCATGGGAATAATATGAGCACAAAAAATTTCCCCTTTGATCTGACGTCAACAACAGAAAAAGCAGCTCTTCAATGACGGCGGTGAAACAGTATAATCTTTTTCTTTTTCTCTTTATTCCCCAAGCCAAATGCACAGAAATTGCTAGCCTATGTAAGAAGGTATCAATAGACTGAATAAAAGAATAAACCTATTTGAAGCTCAGCCAAATCCTACAAATCTACATAATCACAATGGAAGACAGAAGCTCAGGACACAGTGCGTGTCTGCTAGGCATTTATGGACGATGGTGGACACCTATGTGAGCGCACTCATAGGTGTGAGGCAGTCATACCATTGTGCCACATGTCTGCTTGTTCTAAGCATCACCAGATAAGGCTTGAGCATGAAGAGCAGTGTTAACGCCAAGTACCACTTACCTCAACTCAGAATAAACATTTGTTTGTTCTAGAAACAGTAAGCCTTAATAAATGTTCAACTCCCCCCCTTCCCTTCTGTGAGGGATGTATAGCCTAGAAGCTTCAAGGATATGTATTTGCCCCCAAACTGCCTAGCTCAGCTCTTAGAACAAATGCATGCCAACTTGATTAAAAAAAAAAAAAAAAGCACAGCTCAAATGGAAAATGCTCTCTGCTCTCTGATGGAACATCGATATTTTGTAAGAACTCTTTTCTGCCTGGAGAAAAACTGCCTCACCTTGCATTTTCATTTGGGTAATAACCCACAATAGCAACCTGCAGTCATTCCTGATTTCCCTGCAGCGAAGAAGAACTTGAGTTTATTGTGCTGCTTTGTGGGAGGTGCGAAAGCAACACTCCCATCTGCCAGAGGCGCCCCTACCGTGAAGGAGAAGGTGTCAAGGAAGAGAGAGGCATTGCATGAGCTTAAGTTTGGTGTCATGGAAAATATGCAATCCTGGGTGATGGAAGAGGTGGTGTTGGAGGCCCCCTTATCACTGAGGGCCAATAACTTCTCTTTCTAAAGAAGGGCTCACAATCTTATCTGTTTGAAAATCCCCTATTATGTCTTCAACAAAACAGCTCAAATTTTCTTTTCCACTTTGAGTCATATACGACTGGAATGAGTTCAGCTTTTTGGAACACACTGAGCACTTGATGCCAGGGTCACAGATTGAGTCCTTGACTGTACTCATTGCTTTATACCCAGAGTGTTTTCCATCCCAGAAACCATAGGTGTAATTCCAAACCCCCACACAATTAGTGATTGCAACTGGGACCTACAGAGAGTATGGTCATTTCTGTAAAACTCCTCCCTTCATTGAAGAACTTCTCCTGCCCCTTGTTCTGATCATACAGTAGCATCTTCATTTGCAAATTTAACTGAAATCATCTATTGAAAGCTTTTCCTGCCCTGCCTTCTTTGCCCCAGGGAAGGCAACTGGGTACTCCTGCTGAATTCATCCTCAAGCTGCCCAGTTCAGATAAACACACAAAAGACAAAAATAGACCATGAGAACTTTCCTCCTGCTATCCACTATGTTCACTAAAAGTCTAGGAGTACTACCTGATTTTCCAGCTTCAAAGAATATAGGAAAGATTCAGTGTGCTAAACTATGTAAAGAAAACAAAGAACCTCAAAAGCAAACATGGTTGTATTTTTGTGTTATCTTGTATTGCTACTGCTTTTGCTCTTGTTGTAATAAAGAAATGACGTTGTACAAAAAAAATTTGTGAGACCTTGGGTAGATGGAGATTGCTTTCTGTGTTCCTTCCATGGGACCCCTTAGCAAGGATTGGGATTCACAAGCTAATGTATAGACAGGACACGAAATGTCTTGCAGGCTCTTTAAGGACTGCATGGATCACAGCCAGTCATTCTCTGTGTTGCGTTTCCTAGCAGGTCATGGCCTGGAGTGACTGGCTACAGAGCATTCCACATCCTGAGTCACAAACCTTGCAGGTGGCCCTTCTTTCTGCCAGCTTGATCAGATCAGATCTAGCCTTGGGAAGGGCCATGGCGCAGCAGGCGCCCAGAGGGTGTGAAGAGGAGAGGGAAAGGCAGCAGCCAGAGCAAGTACCCAGGACTATAGTGGAAGCCCAGAATTAGAAAAGTGACGGATTACAAAGAAAGAGAACCAGACAGAAGCACAGAACTTGAAAGACAAATACAATGTCAGTGGGCCTCTATTCTAATTCTCAGCATTATGAAATATAGGAGTATAGCCTCCAGGGAGACAGAGAGAGAGAGAGGAAAGGGAAAGGAGGCCAAGTTCGTGGTTCAGAGAGTAAGCAGACAGGAATGGGGGTTGGAGAGAAAGTGTGCCCCATGCGTACAAGAAAGGAAGGAAGGAAGTGATGCAATACAGCAAAGAATGCAAGAGAGCCTGAGCAATTCCACAGAGAGCAGAGTGTGTGGACAAGCCCGCGTGAAGGGAGAACAACAGACAGGAAAGCTTCTGGAACAAGCCGCAGCCAGATGGCCCTTGACCCAGAGGGGAACTGGAGCCCTCGGTATGGAGAGATCTTCCCCTCGGCCAGGCGTGGACTTGCTGCCTTGGCCGAGTCTTGAGAGAGGACCCAACTGGACATAAATGGAGAGAAGACCGAATCAGGGGATGCTGTGGCCTGAAATTCACATCCTCTCAAACTGAGCACAATTTTAAATGTTTGATTCCTCCTCTTCTTGTTTGAACTTGGGCAGAAGCACCCTGAAGTCTAAGTCACCTCTGGACTGCATCCCCAACTCTTCTTTTAGTTTATTGTAGGACTTTATCTCTCTAAGCCTTGGTTGATTCATCCTCAAATGTTGAACACCATTCATGGGTTTAGCAACAGAATCTCCCTCCTGCACACAAAGAACCTTCCATAGACTGCAGGCTCCATGGAGCCACAGGCCACATCTGCCTTGGTCATTATGACCTCATCTCGCTGAGAACACTGACAGGCATGTAGTGGATGCACCATAGATGGATGTCAAATGAATTAAAGGAAAATACAATGCGCAAAGCATACAAAAGCTGAGCTGTGCTGGCTGAAGCAGTATGGAACCCTACTCCCTCACCCCTCTTGACCATTGGGTCCCTAAAGGAGTACTCAGAGCACGGAAACCCCAGCTTGAAACTGCTAGCTGACCTAGCTGTCCTGACACCTCCTCTGCAAGTACCTAGTTCTATAGTCTCTATGCCGAGCACGTTGAGTTCAAGTGTAGACATTCATCTGGTTTGGCCCAAATTCACCTGACTGAAGGATCACTTTTCCCACTTCACCCTCTACCTTAAAGTCCTGGTCTTTAAACCTTCTTGCTGGTACAGTTTCCCCTCTCTTTCCAGAAGATGAAAGAATTTTTCCAGACAAGCCTGCTGTGAGTGACTTCATGGAAATGAATATCTCGAGTCCCTTATGTGCCTCTCATGCGGGGAACTCCTTGTATTTATTTATTTTTAAGAATAGGACTGGGAGGTTGACGTTTCCATTAGCAGTTGAGTGATTTTTTTTTTAAATAAAAACTCCACTCCTCAGTGAGACATGCCTCACATTCCGGTCTCCCCACTTCAGGCACTTCTGTGCTACTAAATATGCGGTGGGAATGACACATGTCTGGAAACCCAGAAGTAACACGTCTCACAACTGCTTGCTCAGTGGTGTACAATGAAGGTGTTGTGAGCGGCTGCCGGAGGAATGCAGACTCCAAGATCCTCAAAGAGCAATCTGTGACATCTTTTGCCTTGGCATTTATCCCTAGGTGTGCTCAAAGGTGTCTTATGTTTGAGTGCTACTCCTGCCTATCATGGGATTAAGGCACGGAGTCAGCTGGCTGTCCAAAGGCTACTGGAAATATCACAATATCGTTAGGCAAACTGAGGCCAGTAATTTCCCCTCCAAGAGAGGACACCTGTGATAACAGATGCCGCTAACGGGATGAATTAGCTCCCCATACACAACGTCAGGTACAAGCGAGCCACATGGATGTTTGCCTCAGTGCTTCCTGTAGCTCTGGTGTACTTCTGTTCTTAAGGGGCAGACACAATCAGTTTAACTCAAAGACTTTTTCTCCCAATTTGTCTCAACCAAGAGATTCACAACAAGGTATTCTCTTGACCAAAGTTAAGGCTAATAATAGGATAGAGGTTGTGAAATGGAAATTTAAAATGGAATTGGATTGCTAAGGATTACGCTAATGAAATACAGATTGGATCAGATATAAATTAAGTATCAGAACAGGAAGACATTTGTCCCAGTTGAAAAAAAAAAAGTGTTGAAAGTCTTTGGACACAGATTTTCAAACAATTTCTAACTTTATACCAACAGTTTAATCCTTGGCAAAATATATAGTACACTTCAACAAGAGAAAACTTTGCAATTACCTTTTATTAAACTCAAAATAATTTCTTGTGTAACAATTAGTTCTTATCATTCGGATGGTTTTTCGGATTAATGAATTCAAAATGTGAGATATTTTCTCTTAAAATAAGCATTTTAATTAAACTAATGAAAAGATGTTTGGTTGAGCTTTGAAAAGTTTACAAAGAAGTCTATAGTGGATGACTTTTTTTCCCCCCAAAGAAACCTTTTATTAAAGGGATACAAACTTCATGCATTTCATAGGTACAATTTTAGGAATATAGTGATTCTTCTTGCTATAACTGCCCTCGCACCCGCACTCTCACCTCTCTTCCTTCTCCCTCTGCCATTCCCAGTCCAATTGTCCACTAAGATCCATTTTCAATTAACTTTATACACAGAAGACCAACTCTATACTAAGTAAAGAGTTCAACAGTTTACATAAAAAAAATGTAATGGATGACAATTTTAAAAGTCATCTATCCCTAGTCCAAAAAGGGAATCCATGTGAGCTTACAGATGTAGGTACCAGTACTTAGGACCACTAAGCAAAATGGGAGATAGAAGTGGCGTTAACCATAAACCTGGACACTTAAAAGCAGTGCTTGATGATGACACATAAGTGGGATCAACATAAACACATTCGCATACACGCACACGTATCCTTCTTCCTACTAGCACTGCAAAGAAACCATACTTTCAAATTTCAGAGAGCTCCTTCCAGCACAGAAAGAGTTAAAGGAGTGTCTACCTTTGTACCTGGTTGCCTTTAGCCAAGTAAAGCAAATGCCATATAAGCATAGAGCTTTGTTCTTGATCGTTCACGTTATCATTTTGGTGCCAAACACAAAGAGATCCAAATGAAATCCAATTTTGCAATCACCAAATACTGAGAAATGTTTGAGCATGCTTGGCGCGGTTAGATTTCGTTGGTCCTGCAATGTTATCAGAAAATGAAGTTGTAGAATTCTTCTGTGTGGTGGCATGGTTTGGTTTTTTTGCTTTTTTGTATTAATAGGAAGAACATGTGAAAATACCAGTGAGTTTAGGTTCTGTTTATTCTTTGTCTCTCCTGTGTACCAGAACAATGACTGTTGTGGGTAAAAAGCTAGGTTCAGTTTCCACTTAGGTCACCAGCTTTATGACCTTGAATTAATTTCCTATCTGAGCTTCAATGTTGTTAACCTACAAAATAAGGATAATTGTACATAGTTGCCATGGATATCATGAACTTAAAAGAAAAAAATAACTGTAAATGCTTAGCATGCAGTTATTCAATGACTTATATTAAGTTCCTGCAATGCACGTGCTCTGAGACTACAGTGCAGAGTCAGGCAGAAAGCACAGACTCTGCCCATGGAGAGCAAATGTTTAAGTACGAGCAAATATTCACACTACAAACAAATCCAAAGGCAAATACTGAAAGACAGGTTCATTCCGTGAACTCTTCACTTGTTGCTCGTTCTAGAATGAGGATGTTGCGATTTTTTTTTTGTGATGGCTGATTAATATTTATGTTCCTCAATAACATATAAACTTCATGATGGCAAAGACCAGCCTTGTACATCCATACCTGCATACAGTAGGCACATAATGCTGAATATAGGAATGTGAGCCTTTAGATAGGATGGTCTAGAAACGCCTCTCAAGGATGCTGGAGCATATAAGTGATGAGAAAAAGGTCAGCCGTGGGAAGGAAAAGAGCCAAGAGCATTCTAGACAGGAAATGTCCAGGGCAAAGGCCCTGAGACAGGAAGGAGCATGGAATGCCTCAGGGACAGGAAGGGGCTGGTGGGATGAAGTAGCCCACAACAGGCTGGGGTGTATTTCAGTTTTACTCTAAGTGTAAAAGCAAGTTCCCTTTTCCCTCTTCCATGCCTCTCCTTGTTTACAGTTTTGTTTTAGTAACAAGATAAGCATCCATCTAAAAATTAGGCAACAATATCAGGGATGATGAGAAACAGATGTGAGGAATCATGCAGGAAAGGTGAGCCTACATCAGAGCTTACCTTTGGTTTCAAGCTTATCCTGGAATTTATTAACACTTTGGGGCACTTGGCTCCCCGCTTTACAGACTGCCCAGAAATCGGCACCAACTGCCCTAATTCCACGCTCTGTCGTCTCCACTTTGGAGGATGTCACAGAAATTCTTCTTAGCCAGACTCTACCAGTTCCCCCAAACACAGACTCTTTCTCCAGTCTTACTGGTTCTCTTCCAAAAAGTCACTTAATCTTCAGGGTTCAGCTTCCACATCCTATAAAGTGACATTGAGGTCACTCTCCCTGCAGATTTTGTCTTCAGCTTCTCAGCACGGCAAGCTGATTCGAATTAAACCACTGCTCAATGCTTTGCTTCTTCAGAGCAGGAAGCTGGAAAGTTCTGCTGTTTTCTCAAAAGTTAGTGGTTGTCATCTATTGTATCCAGCTGTTGTTTGGCTCTGCATTTGGATTTCTTTGATTTTTAGGAAATTCTCTGTTCTTCCTCTTCTTCCTGCCTTGCCTGTGTGGGAGGGCTATGTTATAACTCAACCTAGCATTCAGAGTACCATGTGACCCAAAGCCTTGCCTTTAGTGCTGTGACTCACTTCTAAGACAGTGTTGATACACAAGGATATTTCCAAAGTTCATGGAAAAAATGAAATTGAAAGGTAAGTTTATTTTGTGGCAAAAAAAATGTAACCCATGCGTAACTTTTTCATAATACGCCTTTTCCATGCACATTTTGAAGACACTGTGTATGTGGCTGATGAGGACTCAGGCAGTGGTACTTTTGTCAGCCCTAGGAGTTCCCCCTTGAGAATGAAGCTTGATTCAACCCCTCCCTACTCTACTGGGAGAGACATTTGATTTTGGTAGGGAAAAGTTTCCAAAATGTTATTAAATACCTTCTCTGGAACTCTCTGTGAAATACATAAATTAATAACACATAAATGGGACTTTTAAAACATATGCCACTTCTTTTAAAATGAGACCTGAACTGGATATTAATAAGTGATATAGGAAATGCTTGCGCTGTAAGGTTGAAGTGAAGAAAGAAAAGGAATTTAATGTTGCCTGTGCCACAGGACTCTAAATAGGTAAAACAGTTAGCATGGAAAGAAGGAAACATACCAAACCATTGACAATGCTCATATCTGGATGGTGAGAATGTGGATTTTTATTATTGTATTCATGGCTTTCTACACTTAGTCATTTTAAAAACAGTATTACATGTATAGTCTAAAAATGTACGCTATTTGTAAAAGAAATTAAATCATACTTCACAACCAAAATATTGGTTAATATTACAGCATAAGTATTATCCTCCTGATTCACAATGGTTCTCAACCTTGGACACATTAGAATTAACTGAGGAAATTCTTAACAATCCCAGTGCCCAAGCTGAACCCTGTTCCAATTAAATCAGAGTTGAAAACCCAGGCATCAGTATTTTTAAGTCCCCCAGGTGATTTCAATGTGCCGTCACGGACACAACTACTGGTAGACTAATTGGATAGCTTAGATCAGTGGTTTGCAACCCTGGCTGCAATTAGAATCTCCTGGGGACCTTTTATAATACCAATGTATGGTCCCTAACCCCTGATTCTAACTTTAATTGGTTTGTAGTAGAGCCCTAGCACTAAATTTTTCCAAGTGATTCTGATGTACAGACAGGCCTGTTGAGTATTCACTCTGCATAGGGTCGTGTGCTGAATGTTTCATGTGCATCATCTCATTACAGAAAAAGAAATAGGCCAGGACTCAGAGATATGGAATGCATCTCTCAAGGGAGCCCCGTCTGTTTGAACACAGCTTGTCTTTCTCGTGTGGGGGTAAACAAAGGAAGAATTCTCTCCAGTTCTGAAAGAATGCTTTCTCAACACTCTGATAGAGAATGTGGCCCAGCCACTCCCCACGTGTTGATGCTGGGGCAGGCATTCAGCACAGCCCTGACGGTGCCCGCATCCCATATCAGAGTGCCTTTCTTGGAATCCTGGCTGCCTCCTGCTTCCAGCTTGCAGTTCTGTGCACCCTGGGACAAAGCAGGTGACAACTCAAGTACTTGGATTCCTGCCACCCATGTGGGAGATTGAGATTGAGTTCCCAGCTCCTGGCTTCAGACTGGCCCCTTCTCAGGGCAGTTGTAGGCATTTGGGGTGTGACCAGCCAGATAGGAGACCTATCTTTCTCTCTTTCTTTTTATCCCTCTCTCTCTCTGCCTTTCAAATAAATAAAAGTTTAAAATGTTGATGGCATAGCTCTTAATATGTCTTTTTTAGCAATTGTCTCATCCTCGCAAAATCTACAAAATGTAGATACATTTGTAAAATATCCTAAGCATTCCTATTCATTCATTCTATGCTGACTTGAAGAACATTAGGATTCAGCTACTTCCAACTTGCTCGAAGTTATCATCGTGTCTCATCATTGAACTTCAGGACCATGTCCAGCTTCTCTCCTGAAATCGTGCCATGGTTCTTTTTTTTATTATTTTGTATTCGTTTTTGCTTATAAACAGTTAAGTACATGTTTGAGAATTAAAGAATTTTTCAAAACTCATTAGATAGTTGGACACACTCTTAGATGTCACACGACCAGTCTTAGGATTCCCATCCCAGACAAATTTCAGCATCGCTGGAATTGCTTAGGTCTCTCTCTGATCCTTCCTTTGGACTGAGCTATATTTTCTGAACTGACTTCAAGTACACTTCACCCTTTCTAAAAGTCAAGATTCCCACACACCTAAAACAGAGCTGCAGGTGCATCTTGCCAGCAGAGCTGGGACCCTTTCATCTATAATTTGAGTCCCAAGTTTTTGATGTATGATGCATTTTCCTTTGTATAGCATTGCCTGAGCACAACATGACCCAATGAAGCAAACTGATCGGTTTAGGATACAAAATAAGCCATTTTGAAGTAGGCAGGCATACAGGTTAAAATTGATCAGGTTTGTGAGCTGAAAGACCACGCCTTCACCTCATGCCCCTACTTGGCCACACCTGAGTGCCCACCGGCCAATCAGGTTAATTAACCACTCCCCTTTGAAAGTGGATTAAGGCTGGCGCCACGGCTCAATAGGCTAATCCTCCACCTTGCGGCACCGGCACACGGGGTTCTAGTCCCGGTCGGGGCGCCGGATTCTGTCCCGGTTGCCCCTCTTCCAGGCCAGCTCTCTGCTGTGGCCTGGGAGTGCAGTGGAGGATGGCCCAAGTCCTTGGGCCCTGCACCTGCCTGGGAGACCAGGAGAAGCACCTGGCTCCTGCCTTCGGATCAGCGCAGTGTGCTGGCCACAGCATGCCGGCCGCAGCGGCCATTGGAGGGTGAACCAACGATAAAGGAAGACCTTTCTCTCTGTCTCTCTCTCTCTCTGTCCACTCTGCCTGTCAAAAAATAAATAAATAAATAAAAATTTTAAAAAAAGAAAGTGGATTAAAAGCCCGGGACACAGTGTGTCCAGCCCTTTTCTTCTTTTTCCTTTCCTTGGCCTTTTGCCAGTACAGGGCTGGCTGCAGCCCTGCGCCTTCAGGGTTCGTGGCCTTTGGGCCAACCCACCCTATGCTTCCTGGCCTAGATGCTCTTCCACATGGCTGGTTCCTGGTACCCGGTATGAATCCAGGTTTATATCTCTCTCTCAGATAAAGCCCTCACTCTCCTATGCATCTTTTGCACTAAATTAAAGCTTAAAATGTACTATGCTGCCTCATTCATTTATGGCGATATTCAGAATTCTTTGAATATTAGACAAGCACCCACACGGGCTTATTAATATGGGGAACTTATTAATAAGCATATTGTGATATTGTATGGCACCCCAAATTCCGATATCATATATGGCACCCCAGATGGGACTTTTGGGGGACTTTAAGAGGCCACATTCTGATACATTTTAGGGGGCCAAATATCGGTGTCAATTTCAATAAGCAGAAATTCTGACTCAGCTTATGAGGCAGGATTTGTGAGAGAGCAGAGGAAAAAGAAACAAATACTGTTTAAAGCACAGTTTTAACTTTTGCAGGATAAAATAGGCATTTCCTTTCAAATAATTGTTGCAAATGACAATCTTTCCACATTCACAAACTTGCCATGTAGCATGGTCTTATTTTAGTTGGTGAGTGTGGGCCTCAAGAGAAAAGAGAGAAAATAGCCATGTTGAGAGCCTGGGTTTAGGGAAAGGGAAATCTTTTCTACACTCTGCTTCTTATTCATTTCCCTTCTTTGTCAGCATTTCTATTTGGCTCCTTCCTTAGCAAGAATTCAGTCTTTTATTTTTTTAGGGTAGTATAGCCCTATACTTTGTGATGGGGCTATATGGAGAGAGAAAATCTAATATGTAAAAAGGCAATATATTAATATTTGTAAAAGAAAAAGCCTTACTGCATTTTTTACTTATTCTACATGAGAAGAAAACCTAGGAAGCACATTAATAATAGTCTCTGGGGCTTAATCCAGGACAGAAGAAAAATACTGTGAACAGGAGAATCTGTGTTACAAAGCAAAATGTTATAGCAAGATTAGCCTCTCAAGTTTTTCAGTCTGTGGATTATCAGAAAGGTCTCATCTCTTTTAAGATAATACTTAATTTTATACAATTTTGTCTGTCAATATGGGAATAAAATTAAATTTTAAAATACCTAATGTATGAGTATAAATACTGTTTTTATAAAATGTATGTCCCAAGTAGGATTTATATCTCTTGTAATCAAATGGACATCTTCCAATTTCTTCCAAACATTCTCCACCTGTGCAGAGAATTGGAAAAATTCTAATATGCTCTAATTCTGGATGTTTATACAGCATTGAAAAAAATGGGTGTTTCTTACCCATCTCAACTTGCTCACCAGTTTAACACATTCATGGCAAACGTATCTCTACCCTTGTAATCCCCAGGAAAGACAATGCTGAAGAACAGAAAGAATTTGGATTTGACTCAGGAAAGGAGAATTATCCTATCTCCTTATAACTTTAGTCACAATTTCACAATCCTTGCTAAACCATATGCAACGGGCCAAAAGCAATAAAACAGCAGAAACTCAGGAAGAATGTGCCAGAGTGCAGAGAACAGTTGCCCCAGGCTTAACTTCATTGACCTTTAATCTGTTGGGGTCATCAGCGATTTCTTTATAAAGCATCCCGCAACGTGACCGTGCTCAGGTCCTACATAGCTTGTTCTGCAAGCCAGAGTCTTAGCAATGGAAGTCATACTTGATTTTTGGTGCTGAACAGTTGGGGTAACTTTGCCCAATAAAAATAAAACAGCTTTCTCTGCCATTGTCTTATTTGAACCGTGCTTGGACCAGACAGCAGATTGAGACACAGGTCTCTGACTGAGGGAAGGACTTTGCTGAGGCTTCTCTGAATGGTGAATGCTTTACAAGACCTGGAACTCTAAACCTAGCATCTCAAGAGTAAAGTGTTGCTTAGGAGTAGAAAGAACACTATTCAGAAAGCCAGAAGACCAGGGTCCTGTTACTGATGTACTATGTAATAGCCACGTGACTTCAGAAATGATGTTTGCAAATTATTTATGAAGGCCCTACACTTATTTATGCAGGCTAGCACTGGCGAATGTA